GGGCCTAAGCTTGCCTCGGATGAATGGTTTTTGTCTCGTTATTCTTCTCACTTGTTAAGGTGTTTATGATTTACTTCTAGAGATGTCACTTTTCTTTTAATATTTATATTTGATAAGGTAGAAGCGGTTAAAAGTTGCGCTCTCTTTTTAACAGCCTCATATCAATATACTTGGGCATACTTGAGAAATATGACTCCCCGATGGTTGCAATGGTACCGTTAACCAGAATGGACACAGCGAAAGCCTCACCGTGGAGTGAGGGCGCAAGGCGTCCCCGCCTTCTCGCCTCGGCCCAGCGCCACCCCCGCGGGGCCGTCCTTTTAAGGAAGGCAGCGCATTGTTATTTAGGGATGTGCTAGCCAGCATAATTCTATTGCGCACATAATTAATGATGTGTCAAGATAATACTCCTGAGTGTAGAAACAGTATAATGCCAGTGCTGTAATGCTAGCATTACACTCGTGAGTGATTAGCGAGTATAATGCTAACTATATGTATACTCGTGAGTGCATAGCTAGTATAATGGTAGCTATATACTCGGGAGTGTATAACTAGTGTAATGCTAGCATAATGCAATTCTGTGCGCAAATTACATTATGCTAGCTATACACTCACGAGTGTAATGCTAGACTTACACTCATTTTTAGCAGGGTCCTCAAGCAAATTCTCCTCAATTGCATAGGTTCAGACACGTATCAAACCCTTTAATCTCTCATCGCACCAAAAACTATCCCAGCAGAAGTAACTTATGATGATACTATTGCTCAATTGAAGAAACATTTGTCTCCACCTCCAAATAAGCTCTTGGAGCAACATAGATTCTTATCTAGAACTCAAAGAGATTCTGAATCCATAAGTGATCATGTAACAGCACTGCGCGTGGTTATCTCGAAAATTCTGATTTCAAATGTTCATGCGGTGGTAGTATTGCAACCCCAGTTCTTAGAGCTCAGTTTATAAGAGGAATTAAAAGTTCGACGATCAGAGAAAAGTTGTTATGCGAAAAGGAATTACACTTTGGTAAAGCTGTAACTCTGACTTTGTCTTTGGAAAATTCAGAACTAAATAACGGAGAAATCAAGAATGGTATTAGTAACGGCTCATCCAGTCATGTGAATAAAGTTTATAACGCTCATCATTCCAGACCCTTCTCTCAACGGGCACGTTACAGCCTGAACGACGACAGAAAAAATACACCTCATCAAAGGAACAAGAGTAACCAACGGCACCAACAACATAGGTCCGCTCAGGGTTCATATCGCAAACCCAAGCGGAAAATTGATTATGGAAAGCTTGGCACCGCGGACCTATGCTTCAGGTGCGGACTGAATAATCACCGAGCATCTGAATGTAAAACTAATCCTGTAAACCTCAAATGTAACTCCTGTAATACCAAAGGTCATGGGAGTAAAGTTTGTATCAAAAGTTTGCTTTCTCAGAGTGTCAAATCTATTGAAAACGAAAACATTAATCTCAATGATATTATTAACTTCGAACCAACGTATGATTGCAACGTGCTCATTCCGGTTGACTTATTGGATCCATTTAGCAATGAGCATACCTAAAAATTTAGGGAAATATTTTGATACGCAGTTCTGATAAACGGCACGAAAACTAGCTCCGAAGTCGATTCAGGATGTGGTTGCACCCTTCTTCCAGAAAATGATTTCAAAAAACTGGAATCAAGTGTGAAACTATTCCCTGCACGACAAAATTTTAAATCGGATGATCACGGAATCATTAAACCGATTGGCTATGCCAAAGCGTCGGTTAACTTCAACAACATCACAGCTCATGTTCCTTTTTATGTTGTGTCCTCTCTTTTATCACCTATTTTGGGAATGTCATGAATTCGACGCTTCAAAATAAATCTCCACGAACTTGATACTGTCAATAATCTCAACGCTTCTAATTCTAATTCTAATGAACATATAATCCTCCGTTAATCGCATCACCATTCAAGATATGAAAAATCAATTCCCTGACATTTGTGAACAAAAAGTAGGGAAACCTTAGTAGCACATTTATACAAAAAATATTTTAACGAAAGTATACCACTCATATAACGGTTAAGTAACGGGGTGTTCAAAGGAGGTCGCCGTCGTATAACCGTTATTAATCAAATAATTTTATAAATTGCGCGAATAACCTTTATAATTAGTTCATATAAAAGTTATTTGTAAAAATGTTTTATATAATAACCGTTATATTTCAGTTATACCTACATTTTTTATATAAATACGCTCTATACCGGGTGTCCGTAAAGTAACTGAAAAGTGGGTATAATTTTTGAACAAAAAAAGATAGAAGGTCGCGGTTTGTGGCATTCTTCATCATCCAGAGGGGGAAATTTTTCGATGGGTGGTTTTTCTTGGTGGACCCCCCTGGGGGGTCACCAAGAAAAAGCGGGGGGCAACTTTCAAAATTCAAATAGCAACCCCCATTTTTTTAGACATGGTTAAAAAGAACTTAAAAAGACAAGAAAAATGACGCAAATAAAATTAAAATTGGTTCACTCGTTCAAAAGTTACAGCCGGTCAAAATTTTAAATTGACCACTTTTCAAAAAATCACCGTTGAGCTCCAAATTACCGAAAAAACAAAAACAAACCTGGAATGAAAAGTTTGAAAACTGCCCTTTAAGGCAAGGAAAAACAACTGACGTTGTCACAAGTTTGAATGGCATTGTTTCAAAATAAAATTTCGGAAAATTCAACATGGCGGCAAATTTGAGGACACGCGAATAATGAAAATTCCAGAAACCGTTATCTTTCAAATACCCTCTAGTTTAAGGAAATCAATAATGGTATCAAATTTTTTTCCTTTATTTGGCCAAGTAAGAGCAATAATTTGCTGACTTTAAAGTTGTCAAGCGGGACGCCTTCAATCGTTGGAGTATGCGACATCACATGCACAGGATTAAGTGTGCTGTCAAAAAATGAAGCCGATGTGAAAAAGCGCTCCTCCTTTGGGATGCTTTAGCTTTTCAAAAGTTACGCACCACTGGCCATAACTTTAGTTCTAATATTATGATATCAATTTGCGGCTTGTGGCGTCCTTCCTCATATCGAGGGGGAAACTTTTTGAGGTACTTTTCAGTTCTTCAACCCCCCCCCCCCCCCCCCCCCC